CAAGCAGCTCCCTGCCTGGGCCTAACCACATTTCCCCTGGCCCAGACCCTGACCTGGGGCACAGTTTCACAACCACCCTGCCCACAAAGGGAAACACAGCACGTTTGAACAGTTCTGCCAGCGGTGGGGTGGGAAATCACCTGTTTGCTGTTCCCAGCCACCTTTATTGCCTGCCCATTGTCTGCCATGTTCATGGTGCTGCCTGTGGTGCCATGGGATTTTTCCAATATTGCTCAATAACTGGGCGTGCTGCTGGATTTTCAGGAGGATGTTGTGTTAGGCTCTCATACCTCAGTGAGCAGCCTCAGAGGCTGCTGCTGCTGCAGCCCTTCAGGGTGTGTGCCCCATGGCAACTGTGTGCAGGCTGTGCCACAGCCAAAGGGCCATCTGGGATATGTATAAAGGTCCTTATAATCCAGGAGCTCTTCAGGAGCACTGGAGAAGGCCAGGGATGGGGAGTCCCCTCAGAAATTTGGAGTCAGCATCCAGCCCACACACTCAGCCCCCTCCTGCTCCCTGTCCCCACAGCTGTCTGACATCCCTATCTCACTCCCAGCTCTTGCTGAAGTCATTATAAAGCCAAAAGCAATCAGCTGCACAACCTGGAACGTGGGGCTGCCAGCCCACACAGCCTCCCCTGCTCCCCTCCCTGGGAGCTGGGGCTGCAGATGGCCGTGCAAATCCAGCCTGTGGATGTGGGTGTCTGTGCAGGGTTTATTCCAGCCTGGGCTTTTTTTTCCCGGATGTTTATGCAGTGACCTCCAGTGTTTATTCTGTTTATTCTTAGCTTGTATAACATCAATGCAGCAGTTTACTAGGCTGCTCCCAAATATTTGACCTACAAAATAATCAGTCTAATTTGGAGGCCAAGCTGAATTCAGCCAAGTCATGAAATGCTGCCTCACGTCACTACTGGCAGCCCTTAAAACCTAAACCCACAGCTGTATCAGGCCCAAGCCTTTCTCTAAAGGGTAACTGCATTGGCCTGTATTTTCCTACACACCCCCCAGAGGCCATTAACATGGTGCTGTTGGTTTAATTGCCACAAAGACTCCTGTACATTCAAAACCACTGAGCTGTAAATCCTTCATTTCTCAAATCCAGCTTGCCAGATTTCTTTGTGCCTTGCAAAGCCACTGCCCACTTGCCCACTGGTGCCTCCCTCAGTTCCACCTGACCCAGGCACGCTGCAGGAGAAGGCACCAAGGGCCAGGGACAGGCTGCAGCTCCCAAAACCTCTGCAGGTGCTCTGATGACACTGCTGACACTGGGACATTTCTGGATGGCAGCTCTGGGTATCCACAGTACCACAGCAAGTCCGCTTACAGATGCTTCTCTGAATTTTACTTGCAACAATTTTTGGAGAAAGGGGAATGATTTAGGGGATTGACTATCTTTCCAGCAGTGGCAATCACATAATGACCATCTGAAAAGGGGGAGAAATGAGATGGGGTCTGATCGAAAGCCTTTCCTGTTACTTCAGGGGGAAGAAGTTACTCCATGAATAACAATTGGGAGAACAGAGTGACATTCCAGAGAAACCTCTTGAAAACAAATTTAATTCCAGAGGTTTTCTTCAACATAAAATTGTCTTCTCTTTGGAAACTTCTTTCCCAGTCAGACCAGGAGAATATTCAATCATGGCATAATGTGATTTCAATTCAAATACAGATCTAAAAGTTCAAGTATGAAATTACATACTTGGCCTTTTCACATTAATTAATCCAAATCAGTAGAGTAACAGACACTGGCTTTCACTGGAGAACATCTTTGTGCTAGTGAGAACAGTTAATTAGAGCTGGCACAAACACCTTCCATATCCAGCATGAATAATAATATTCCCAGAGCAAATTTTCTCAGCAAACTTGAGGAAACAGCTGAATCTTGATTCTTCAGCCCACTCCTTCAAAGATTCTAATAAGAGAGAAGGAGCTCATTGATGAGCAGCCCCTGTGCTCTTCCTGCTCCAGCCCCTCCTCTGATGTGAGCTGCCAACACCAGAGGTGCCCAAGGCTGTACCAAGTGCCAAGGCTGCCTTGCACGCGGTGTCACCTCTGCAGCATCCTCCTGCTGCCTCCAGCAGGACTCAGCCACAGCCAGTGACAGGGCTCCGGGCAGGGCTGAGGCTCTGGGATGTGCTGCACCACTGGGGTCTGCTCCGGATCTGTCCCTGAGCTGGGGTGAGCCCTGCCCTGTGAGACCCACCTGGGAGCACCCCATGGAAAAGGGAGCAGTGCATGAAAGGAGATGATGGGGAAAGTCACAGTGATCAGCTGAAACTGCTGTGGAGGTAACTCCAACCTAAATCAAGAGATTTTCCTCATTCAACAGACACCAAAAGCAACAACCACACAGGGACACCCAATTCTGCTCAGCACTCCCCTCCCTACCTGCAGGCACAGCAAGGCAGAGCCAGCTGAGCTCCTGAGGAAGCAGAGGAACACAAGGGGTCCTGTACACAGCAGCCAGGGAGTGGCACCCTGTCCTAAAGTCAGTCGTTAGAAGTATCTGACACACAAGAGTGTTCACATTGTCAAAGAGACTCAGATATGCAGGAACTCAACTGAACAGTCAAAGGCATCCTCCAAGAGATGTCCTTACTCTGCAGAGACAAAGACTCCTAAATTAAATATGACAAGTTGGATGGTCCAAATGTTGCTTCAAGCTCCAGTTCCCTTCCCAGTCCCATAGGGCCCTGCTGGAAAGTAAGGCTGGACACTATTTTGTAGACAAAAATGTTTCTTTTAATGCAAAATGTTTCATTTACATGCTACTTCACCATTTTAATTCAGCATTTTGGAAAAAAAAATGTTTTGAAACAAGAAATAATTACTAAAATGTTAAAACAAATGCTTCAGCTTAACATCAGGAAGTTTAGCTGCTTCCACCCCTTTTTATACTATTACTTTTTTTTAAAGGAAATATTCACAAAAGATCAACCCATATATGTTAGAGACTTTGTTCTCCCACACTCTGATTTTTGTTCATTTAATCCAGAAAACATTCCCTGCAATGGAGCTGCAGCACCTCAATGATTTCACTGGGACATCAGGAATTGTACTTGCCAAAGGAGCAAGAAACAGGCATTTACCTGTGACCTGGGAAGCTAGTTTTGTTGATCACAGAGTTGTCCAAACATGCCTTTTCCTCTCTGGGAAGCTGTGACAACATCCACAACACTTGTTCTTAAAACATTCCGGGTGGAATGCAGAACGAGAGCAGCAAAATGCTTTGGGAACAACTTGCACATCCTAAGGCGCATCCCTAAGCATGTACAGGAGAGAGAAGAGGCTTTCCTTAGCTTGGCACCACAATACACCAGAGCTGTTCCTGCTGGGCTGGAGTCCATTCCAGCAGGGACATCTGGCAGCCGCTGCCTGCCCCGATGCTGGTGTGCCACACGAGCAGGGTGCAGCCACCAAAAACGGGGTCCCCATCGTGCTGGTGGAGAGCCAGGTCCTTAAGTCTCCATCAGGGCCTGAACACTCCTTGTCCCAAGGCTGCAGAGATCCCAAAGGGCTGCACATCACGGGGTGGGACTGGGCTGTAAATGCAACTGCAGAGAGCTTGTAATAAATAAATTCATTTATGTTTTAATAGGAGACACTGAGGTACCTCCCCTCAACTGCTCAGTTAATAATTTTCCAGCATTTCTTTTTTCTTAAAAAAAAACCCCAAAAAAACAGAGCTTGGAGGTGGGTGCTCCTAGAGCTAGACCAACTTTGACTTACTGACTGTGCACTGTCTGGCAGAGCTAAACAACTGCCTGAGCCATGCTGCAATATGCAAGTATTAGAAAGTAAATTATATCAGATGCCAGCCATTATCACAGTGACCCATATTTTAGGGTCTCAACTGCATCTCTGCCAGTCTTCCTAAATTAGGTTTTACTGCCAAGCTTTTATACATGCCACTGTTCAATCAAATAAAGCAGCCTTCTGCCAGAGTGTGAGCAAGATTAGGAAGTAGACTGATTTGTTTTTGGTTCTCTTAAGAGCAAGGGGCAACAAATGCAACCTCAGAAAATGAAAATCTGAACCATGAGGGAAATTTGGAAAACACAGTTTCATAAGACAAGCTGGTTTTCTTTGTAGTGGACAAGCCTCGGTTGGCTGACTCGCTGCTAACTGGATTTACTGGAATGCATCTATCACATTCTTAGTATCAGCATTTCAGCCTTCAAGAGGCATGTCTGAAAGGTTCAGGTTTCCCACAGAGTGGTGCAGAGCTGCTTCCTCAGCCCAGAGCTGATGGAAGAAGGCAGACAGGCAGAGCCAGCTGGGCCAGCCTGGGAGAAGAGGCTTTGGCAAACACAGTTACTGTAAGGTGCAGCTCCCCTCAGAACCCCAGAATGGAAAGAGCACCCATACACTGAAAAGTTAAATGCAAAATACAGCAAAAATGACTGTAATGAGCAAAACATGAGCTTCCCGCCTGACTGAGCAGAGACTAACTGTGTAACGAGGAACAGTCAAGTTCAGGAAAAATATTCTGACACTTTCCTACCAGAAGGATAAAACAGGGGGAGAAAGCCTGGGAGGGCACTAAGGGACCCCCATTGCTGTGTGTAGTGAGGAAAGGAAAACCCCCAAAGGCCAGCCCTGCAGAGCCAGCCAAAGGCACCTGCAAGCTTAGGTCGTGTTGGACACATTTCTTGTAGACAGCTGGAAAAGCAGGGCTGAGCACAAAGACCCAGTGGCCACAAGCCACCCAAGCAGCAGAGGTGTCTGTCTGCTTCAGAAACATGAGCTGGGTGACCTCCCCGCACAGGGGATGGGAGAGGGGAAGAGCCCTGCAGAGCCTGCAGGCACAGGCAGCTCCCCAGCGGGTCAGCCACATCCCCACAGCTCTCCCATCACCTTGGCAAGGGCCTCCCCACTGCAGCACCCTCCCACTGCCCACCTCCTCCATCCCACTAGCTGGACCCCACAGCTGCTGCCTCCCATCAGCTTTGTGCAGGGCATGTGCTTCCCATTCCAGACAAACACACATTTCACAGGTCAGAGGTAAAAGACTTTATTATCCCATGGGTTTTTCCTAAGAAGTAAGATTCCCACCAGACAAAATATACAAAGCATCTTATGTTTTCTTTCTACAACTGCATTCTCATCCTACGGAACAGTGACCACGGGAGCTGACCCCAGAGATCTGAGGTTTGTCCTCACAGCTGCAGGACTGCACAGTTAGCATATCCAATGGCCAGTTACATCATGCACAACCAGAGGGGAGGGAAGAGGCCTGTATGCTCACCTGAGTGCAGGCTCAGGCTTCTAGAAAGGAAGAGAAACACAGGGCTTAAATTTACCAGTTATTTCCATTAAGTGAACTAATTCTCTGTCCCACTTCTTGTCATCCTCTTGGCAATTAAAGGCTGAGGCTAGCAGCAAGTTATTGCCTAGAAAACACAATGCTAGAAAAGTAAATACCCATCTGGCAGTGGGAAACTTTCCACACCAACCTGCAAGAAGTGCACATAATTCTTCATTTTACATCAAGCTTAAAGCAGAATGAAACGGAAGTGTCCTCCTCTATTTGACAGAAATTAATATTTATAGCTATGTTTATATAAATAATAAATACTCAGCCTCTAATGACATACTAATTCCTATTGCATTACATGACTATCCTGAGATTCTGTTTTGTTTTCACATAATTAACTCATAAAATTAACACTCAGAAGTTTAAAATATATTAACTTTGCATTTTGGTTCTGCTGAGTTAATGATTGTACTTGCATTTACTTTATCCTTCCTCTTCCAAAACAACAAGCTCATTTCAACAGATGGTGAACAGGTCCAGATTTGCTGGAAACCAATTAACAAGAATGTGCCAAGTTGAAACTCACCCCATTCTTTCAAGCCAAAAAACTGCCTGCATTTCAAGAACCTAATTAGTTTTAACTGCATTTATGGAATGGAGGGAAGAATATTTAATTACTCTGCAATTCTTCTGTCTGATGATCAATAGAAATGCAGTTTTGTTCAAATAATTTCTCTGCAGTACATTGATCAGCTGAATCTTGCCTTATATCAGTATCTGTACTCCACTGGTGCCTGCAGATGTGATACACAGCTGTATTACAGAGATTACTATCAAAACAGCTTTCACTGGAGGAATTACACAAGAATACACACTGTTAAAAGATTTGAAAAACCTGCTTCTTCACTTGCCAGTAACTACAAGCTCTGCTGCTGACACTACCTTCCCTCTGCTGAGCTCTCCAACTGTCCTGTCTGTAGCCTCACAACTATTCCTTTCCTAAGTGCACCTGGTTTAGGTCATTATATCAGCCCTGAAATGGAAATCCTCCTCTTGTGCATACACCCTCTGTCCCAGTGCCATGGCAGCCTCAGAGCAATATCCCAGCCTGAAATTGCTCAGCCAGGAAAAGAGCACCTATTTCCAGCATTCCTCTTTCTCAGCCAACCCTTCTACCCAAACCTGCTCTCAGAAGAGATTTCCATACTGGAGTGTGGAAGAAGCTGCATCCACCCCCCATTATCTTTGAGCACTGTGTAAATTTAAGCCCAGCCAATGTCTCGGGTAGGTAGCAGGGAAGAAAGGGCCACAAAGGACCCCAGAGGTTAGAGCTGCAGAAGCTGGGGGGAGTATAAAAAGTAGCCAGATTACCATGTCTAAAGAGAGGGCTGAGAGCATGTGTGCAAGCAAAGCCAAGGAAGGTTACATCTGGAGAGTGGCTTCATGACTTTTGGCAGATAACAGTTTCGACCACAAAAGTGTTTTCAAAGTGACGAATGCGATGACAGTTTCCAGCCTCACGTCGACTGATACCTAGAAGTGATTTAAAGAGAGGAGAGAGGTGAATCAACAAATGATGATCTGCAAGAACCAAAGCAAGGAGGGGAAGGAAAGCAGATGAGATGCAACTTCTGAACACTGAAATGGGGGGACAACATAGCCCACATGGAAAGCAGAATTATGTAGTCTTTGGAAGAATTAACAATCTTCTCTAGGATATAGTCCTGTAGTAAGAACTGCTACAATCTGAAGGAGTCACCTGGCAATAGCTGGTTTCAGCTGGCAGCATCTCAATGTTATCTCAGGCACCAGAAAGCCTCAAGAAACCAAGCCTCAAGCAGAAGTCACAGGCTGGTACAGAGCACAGCCCTGGGTGCAGCCAAGAAGTGTTTAAAACAACTGTCTGTATCCCTGCGTGCCTGATCCTGCTGCGGCCCCACCTGGGGTAATGCTTCCCCTGGGTAACACTTCCCCATGCCCCCAAGTGCAGGTCCTCAGCTCTGGGCAGCTCTGCTGGCAGCTCCTCCCACCTTACAGCAAACCCCTGGTGCCCCAGGACAAGCAGGATCTGCCAGGGCTCCATGGGAGCAACAACCAATGTGTGCCAGCAGCTCCTCCACGTCAGTGCAGCTCCCACTGGGGATGCACCATCAGCTACAGCCCTGGGGACCTCTGCACCCTGCAGCTTCCCCAGAGATCCAAACCCCACTGACTGCAGGTCCACATTCCAGGTGAGCCTTTAAGCATACCTTAAATGCAAATTAATACAAATACTGGTATTAAAGAGTATATTGCAGCAATGTTACCATTTCAATATAAGGTACATACTGTTAATTTCCATGAAATCATTTTTACACAGTCAAATGTTCCCTCTTCACAACGCTTTCCATACTATTATGAACTTAATTAATTAAAGGCAATTTGCAGATCTAATCTGCTCTTAATAGCTGCCACTGAATCGGGTGCCTTCATTAGGGAAATTTTCCAAACAGTTCCCAACAGCACTGCTATTAGTTCAGCCTCAGGAGCCCACGTGTAAATGAATTGCTGGCTCCTGCAAGCATTTTTACAGGATTTGTATCAGGCTGATGGCTGACACAAACACAGCAGTCAGCACCCATTTGCAGCAGCATCCTGAAGTTGGGTTTAGATTAACGGGATGGGAAACGCCTCAAGGAAAACCCCCAGAAGGAAACCCCACACTGCCCGTGAAGAGGCCAGCATGGCTGTACCAGTTACAGTGGGGCTGTGACATGGAGTGAGGAGCAAGGTGCAGGGCTGTGATGTGGGATGAGGAGCATGGGGCAGGACTGATGTGGGGTGAGGAGGATGGGGCAGGGCAGGGCTGTGGGGCTGGGTGAGGAGCAGGGCAGGGTTTTGGGCTGGGTGAGGAGCAGGGTAGGGCTGTGGGGCTGGATGGGCAGCAGGACAGGGCTGTGAGGCTGGGTGAGGATCAGGGCTGTGGGGCTGGGTGAGGAGCAGGGCAGGGCTGTGGGGCTGGGTGGGCAGCAGGGCAGGGCTGTGGGGCTGGGTGGGCAGCAGGGCAGGGCTGTGGGGCTGGGTGAGGAGCAGGGCAGGGCTGTGGGGCTGGGTGAGGAACACAGGGCTGTGGGGCTGGGTGGGCAGCAGGACAGGGTTTTGGGCTGGGTGAGGAGCAGGGCAGGGCTGTGGGGCTGGATGGGCAGCAGGGCAGGGCTGTGGGGCTGGGTGAGGATCAGGGCTGTGGGGCTGGGTGGGCAGCAGGACAGGGTTTTGGGCTGGGTGGGCAGCAGGACAGGGTTTTGGGCTGGGTGAGGAGCAGGACAGGCTCTCACGCCGGCGGGCGCCGCGCCGCCGCAGCCGGTACGTCTCCTTGCCGCTGCACAGGCGGTAGATGAAGGAGCCCAGCTGCTCCATGTCACTGACGTGCTCCGTGGCGATCATCTCCTCCTGGATTATGTACGTCTGAGGCAGGTATGTCCCCTTCTGAAACGACAGAGTTTCCACTGAAGTAAGGCACAAACACCGCCATGATCTCCTCCCTGAATGCATCTGTTTCACACAGAGCACCATGGACAACCAATTGGAAAATTCATTTGCTGCTGAGGCTCAAGCTCCACTTACTGAGGCCATTTAACATGTGTCCTTGTCCTTGCAAGAAACTGTCCCTTGCTACTAGCACAGTGCACACAAAACAGATTAGATCCAAAAATGGAATGTTGCCATAAGGGGTGAAGTCAGTGTAGGATCAACCCTGTTATAAACTGGCCCAAATTTTAGAGCAGGATGCCCAAAACTGTAACTCTGAGAGTACAACAAAGCCATCTGGAGAGAAATAAAATCTTAACCAAAATTCCAGGAACTCCACTGAAATGTGCACTCTACATTTACTTCAAAAGACAAAACCCAAAACCACCAGCCCGGCTCAGAGTCCAACATTCCCCTCTCCTCCCTGGTCCCTTCAGCAGACCCACAAGGATGTCCTGCCCACAGGAATGAGGACTAGACATGGGCCATGGGCACCACATTCAGAGAAGAACTGAGCTCTCCACAAACCTTCACTGCCCCAGGAACGTCTGGGGCAGTGACAGCCCTGCTGTTGGGGTAGAGGCCACTATGAAGGCCAGGGTGATGAGTGAGGTGTCATGGCAGAAAGCTACCAGGGGATGGAAAATATGGGGTTTCTATGTGTCCCCCAAAGATGGAGGTCACATCTTCCCCTGCGGGAAAGAGTTCAGCTCAACACTGGAGTCTCTCTGCAAGCTCATTCCCAGGTGCTCAAGGCATCTTTCATGTTTGGACACCACTGTAGCAACAAACAGCTGTGTAACAAGTGCAGCCTAGGCCAGGGGACACTTGTGAGTAGATGCTGACTAGGTCATGAAGCAAAGAATCACCTCTGGTCCTTTTCTTTAAGAAGAGTCAAAGAAGTGAAAGTACTGTCAGACCCTGGGGCCAATGTAAAAGCATAACTGTCTCAAGTTGAAAGGTGTAGCTGGGTGTGTATTCCATTTGCCATCTGTTAGAGGTTGGGCATTCTCTGCTGTTCTTTGGGCAGTTTTTTCTTTATCTCTCCCACAGCCAATCCTCCCTCCAGGAGATCTCTGTTGTCCATGGCCACTGAGTGTCCCTGCATGGCTGAGAAAATTCCATCATCCATGGGGAGATGCTGTGCCCAGGGGAGGAGCCAAACATTCCTACCTGGATCCAATCTGACCTGGGAACAGCACAGCAGCCTCTGCCCCCTGCATTCCCAGAGGAGCAGCTTCCTTCCCCCTGCATTCCCAGAGGAGCAGCTTCCTTCCCCCTGCATTCCCAGAGGAGCCCAGGCCCATCTCCCCCAGCCCTGGAGCTCCAGAGGAAAACTCCCGCCTTGTGCAGAAGCACAGCTGGCACTGCAGGAGGCTGAGCCACCCTGGGATGGGGCTGCTGCCACCTCTGTGACACCCAGGGGTCAGGGCCTGCTCTGACTCTGTGACTGTTGGTTTTTTTGTACTATTAAATTTGTATATTTAATTTTCCTAGTAAAGAACTGTTATTCCTATTCCCACATCTTTGCTTGAGAGCCTCCTAATTTCAAAATTATAATAATTCAGAGGGAGGGGGTTTACATTTTCCATTTCCAGGAAGGCTCCTGCCTTCCTTAGCAGACACCTGTCTTTTCAAACCAAGGCAATAACCAAGGAGAAAAGCAAGCAATAGCAGCACCATTTCAGGTATCACCTCTTCTGTTTCCCAGGACTGGTTATCTCCACAGAGCTATACCTGGAAACACACTACCTTAACTCAGTGCAGTGCTGCTGGGCTGGCACAGCCAGGTAGATCAATAACGCTGTCCTCTAACACTGAAGGATTAGACAATTAGTGCCAGTTTGCACTGCACTAACACTACAGTTCTGCAAGAAATTCTATTATTGATTCTCAGGGGGAGAAGGCAGGGGGGCCGTGAGATATGTGCAGTTCCTGGCAGGGGCTGTCACAGTGACAGCCAGGGCTGGGGCTCAGGATGTGCCACACCCTTGGCCTGAAGAGAGGGCTCAGAGAGACAGATAATGAGCACACAAGCCAGTTTCTTCACTGTCTCAGGCTGAAATAGCTGTGGCAGGTGAAGGGGGAATCACCACTCCTCCATGGCAGGACTGTGCAACAAGGACAGTACCTTCAAGTCTCTGCCAAGAACTTTCAGCAAGCTAAAGCTCTGAGCATCTTGTGTTCTGCAAGAGATGTGGATCATCCATCATTTAACTGGGTCACTTCCAGTCTCCTGCTGCTGCATGGGGAGCATCCCTCCATCCTTTTATGTCAGACACTGATGCAGCCCTGGTCACTGAACTGTCACACCTGTGCAGAATAAAGCCTGAAAGAAGCAGGCACAGGGCATGTGGCAGCCACTCTGCAAAGGGGCACCCTGGCACCAGGCTGGCCAGGAGGAAAGAGCAAAGGAGGTTCCCCAACTCCCTGTGCTGCCCCAGTCTGCTGGAGCAAACCACTGGTGTTAATTGCTGGACTGTGATCTGATTCTAGAAACAGGACTGCAGTCACTGAACAGGTCCAAAACTAAACTTTCTGCTGGGAATTAATCTCATTCATTAGGGACTTGACTGCATTCAGAGATGCAGAGAAGGCAAAAGTCTCCAAGTCCAAGGACCAACAAAGCTCACCCAGCATGTAAAAGGAAGCACTTTTGAGCAGCAGGGCAAGTGATAAGGTTATAAAGATCCTCCCTGCATCAGGAATAAACTAGAGCTTTCTGCCTGACCAGCAAGGCCATCCCTCCCAAATGTGGCCATGAAATCACAGGCCCATAGGATCACAGCTAATTCATCTGGGGAGGGACCTCAGGACTTTATCCCACCTGGTCTTGAAAACCTCCAAGAATTTCAAGGAGGCAGCACAACCTTCCTGGGCACCCTGCTCCACTGTTCTCATGGTAACAAACTTTTTCTGAGCCAAACCCAAGCTAACCACTTTAAAACAGTGTCTCTAAGGTACAGGTTAAAGCCTCCAGAGACAGACTGGACACTACTGAACCATCTCAATGATCAGAAGGTTATTTAAACTCATACCTGCTTTGGGCTCTTCAAACACGTAATTGTATTGTTATCCCCTTTTTAAATTCAATGATAATGCATCATTTTCACTCAGGATGAGTTTATATCTGTTGTTCTAGGATGTGCCTAGTATTCCCAATCTCTCAGTTGTTTTCTCTCAGCTTGTGCAATCCTGCCTTTTCCATTTCCCTCTGCCCAGGGACTGGTCACCTGCCAGGGTCAGAAGCTGTGACAGGTCTGGAGCGAGTTGTAAGAAAATGTGTGTTGTACCCCAGCGGGGTTCCCAGCACATTTGCCAGACAGTCACAGTGCATGAAATTGTGAGGAACTGCAAGGAAACAAACTGGGAGTCTGACAGGGACTGGAGATCAGGCTCTCTCCAGGCATAACTGTTTGCCTCTGAGCTCACACTGCAAAGTTCACCATACTGCACATAGCAGGAAGCAAGCAAAGAAAATTTAAGAAAGAGTAAGAATTAGATTGTCTTTTTTTTTCCCCACTTTCTTTTGAACAGACCCTCACAGGAGTGATAAAAGACCCAAGTTCAGTGCCTTGATTTACTTGCAGAAGACTGAGACAGGTATGTGCCTTTTGCAGTCTGAAAAATCCTGTGTTTTTTTCCTGCTGTGAAGATTAAATAGCATTCTATTTTAAGATGGCTGCCTTCAGTAGCACAGGCTGCTGAACTGAACAAAATCGCTGGTACTAAACCCAGTTAATGCTGGCTGTGAGCATAACTGATGAGCCCAAGCCTGGTGCTGCAGCTCAGAAGGGAGGGCAGCACAGATTCCTCCCAAAAAGGTGAGTGTTGAAGGCCTGCTCCTCCCCAAGGGACACTGAGAGCTCTGCAATTGGCAAACCACAGTGCAAAACACAGGAGGGGGAAAGGAAGGAATATTTTCTTTTTTCTCTTGATTCCTACAATCAGTAAACACCAGAGGGAAGGAACCTGCTGCTTCTCTGCCTCCCTGGTCAGGCTGATCCTCATGCCAGTGTTACTGTGTTGTCTGCACAACCAGTACTTCAGCTAAACCTGCTGAAGTCTTCTCTCTACACGGAGACTCAGGGCCAAGGCTCACTTCCCCAGACACAGCAGTTTTGACTTCCCAGGAGCTGCCAGCTGGCACCCAGGAGCCAGCTCAAGGAAAGCATGCAGAAGAAGCAGGGCTGCAGCTGTACCTTCACGTTGACCAGCAGCTCCCACAGGTTGCGAGGAGGCATCACGATGGTGGTGTTGAGCTCGATGACGTAGCACTTGTCCAGCGTTATGTCATGATACGCTGTCAGACCCTGCATGCCAAGCACAGGAATGACACAACTGAACCCTCTGCAATGACTGTGAGAAGGCTGAGAAGAGGGAATTCAGGGAAGACAGGACACTGTGTTAAACAAACCTCCCTGCCAAGGAAGCAGAGCAGGTTGGAAAGACCCAGAGAGGACCTTGGGCAGGAGGACAGCTCAGGAATAGATGATGTGACAACAGTGACAGTGCCAGGCCATGAGCTGCTGCACCCAGCTCAGCCCCATGCTTGCCCCCACCGTCCCAGGAGCTCCTTACTCGCTGGAAATCATGGATGATGTCTGCAGGGTCGCTCCCTCCAAACTGGGGCACTGGGACATTGATTTGCTCGTAGTTCTCTTCAATGTAGATCTTGACATCTTCGTGCAGCTCCAGCTGCCCTTTGAAGGGCGAGTACAGCGAGTCTTCGTACAGGACACCGCAGTGGAACACGCTCTCACGGGGCAGCTGTGGGGACACATCCAGGCAGGGCTACAACACAACCCCCCATGCTACAGCAAACATGGGCAGGAGTGTACCCCTGCTGAGTAAACACTCATCAGATGCTCAAAGATATTTTAAGATCAAGCTTTTTACCAGAAAACATTCTTGGTGAACCTAGTGCAAACTACCCTTGTGAAATGATCACATCTCACTTCATGCTAGCCAGGTCCAAAGGGAATAAAGAATTCCCTTCCAGCTTTCATGAGGAGTAATTCAGAAAGGCAAACTGACTGCCTCCAAGCTCTTACATTTCCTCACAAGGCTGTTCACATCCCTCCAAAGCCATGACTTCCAGTAACTGCATTTTTCTACAGGAGGCATAGAAAAAACTGTATATTTTCAAGGAGGCATAGAAGCTTGGGCTGAGCAGAGAATCATTTCTAGAGGCCCTTGTAGCTTGGAGAGGCAAATGCAGCAAAACAAAGTGGATTCACCTCACAGCAAAACAGGAGCTGCTGTTCTCTGAGTAACCTGGGAGGTGTCACTGCCAGGGCCTCCCTCTAGGCCAGGGCTGCTTCTCCTAGGGAAGTGCCTCCACCAAAAGCCCAGGGACAAGTACCCTCACCTGGGACAGTGCTGTGTGTGAGGGGGGAGCAGCCCTGGGGCTGTCACAGCATTTCCAGATCAGGTGTAAATGACAACGGGTAATAAAGCACTGATGATTTCTTGAAACAAAGACTGCAAATTAATTTGACAGCAAGGAAATTTATGGAGAAAAGGAGTATATAAAAATACTCTTCTGCTGAGTGGATAAGTGCTGTCTGCAGAGATGAAGGCAGCAGCAGTTCTGGGAGAACTCATTCACTAATAGCCACTCCACAAAACAACACAGCACAACGAGGGCTCCAGTGCAAATTAGTGCTCTGGGGTTTCTTGGCTAAACACTCAGCAAGCCAGAGCTCAGCAGTTTCCTCCTCAAAAAGCAGCTCTGCCCTGTCTCATTCCCTGTGTTCTGACCCTCTATAGTGCTGCCAGCCCACTGCTTTGGCCAGGCCAGGCCAGGCTTTGATAAGACTAAGGTGCTGAATTTAATGGAGGTTGAGGGCTCACTTTCTACATCATTTCCCACTTAGTTCTTACTTCTTTGCTTGCTTTATTAATAGCAGCACCTATTTTTGTCACACCTACAGAGCTTTTCTGTGCTAGAGCCTACAAAACCTACTGCAAAAAGCTGTTCCCTTGCCTGTACTCCCCTGTTCTCTCCAGGCTTGCTCTCCCCTCACAAGCCATGCTTTCAGGCTGCTGTACCCCAGACAGCAGTGATGTGTGGTTTAAAAGGTCCAACTGGCAGGATATTTTTATGCAGTTGAAAAGAAAGCAAAACAAAGCCATAAGAGAAGGGAAGGGTTTCTGCAAGGCCCTTCCAGGCATTGGGAATGGAGGTCAGCCTGAGCCCACCATTTAAGAAATGCCTCATCGGCAGTGCCCAGCAACCTGGCTGCTGAGTGCAGGGCAACAAAAACCAGCAGCACCTCTCTCAAAGATGGTCTGGCTGCTCGGGCTGGTGGAGCCAGAAGTGCTTCCAAGTCACTCCTACCTGGGTGATGAAGAAGTATCTGTAGACGTACATGGATGCAAAGACCAGCCCCAGCAGCAGCACGAGCAGGCCCATGGTCAGGTAGCACACCCCGCTGAGCGACGAGCGGCGGCCCTGCGCCGCGGGGACCGGCTCCTCCTGGGGACAGAACACAGATGTCAGCTGCTGCAGCGGGGCCCAGCACCTGCTGAGCCTCCGAGGGGGCTCTGGGGCACCAGCACCTGCTGAGCCTCCGAGGGGGCTCTGGGGCACCAGCACCTGCTGCTCCACCCAAGGGTGCTCCAGGGGACCAGCACCTGCTGCTCCACCCAAGGGTGCTCCAGGGGACCAGCACCCGCTGAACCATCCAAAGAGGTTGTTTTGTGCAATGAACAGGGCAGGCACTGCCCTGCAAAGCTACTTCAAACCTGGTAACAATAAAACACTTGTGCATTTTGCTTCCCTTACCCCAGATATGTATATAAACTATATACATATATACCCCATATATGTATATAAACTATACATATTATATACCTATATATTTATATATATTGAAAAGAAGTGTGTGTGTGTGTTTGTGTGAACATACACAGACATATTTATCACCAGCTTCCCACCAATTGTTCAGAACAAAGACAAGCTTTGTTTCGGTGGGAGGCAAAGACTGACCAAAAATAAAAAATAAAATCAGGAACTCTTAGTTCCTGGCACTGAATGTAACAGCACTTATGTGTTTATAGTCAAAATTTTTTAGTTGAAATGCTGCTACTCATGGCAGAATTTCTCATTGGAAATTTTTTGTGATGGGAGTTACTGGTACGTCCTGGCCCTGCTGGGGTGAGCTGACACAAACAGATGTGCTGATCTCAACTTCATTTTCAAGCTCATTGCAGCACAGCTCCTAGGCAAATGGACAGAGCATCAAAAAACACACACCTGTCCTCTTCACAGTGCTGCCCAATCTATACAGACAGTAGCCAGCTCACCTTGTCACAGCCCTGAAAACAGAGGGCAGTGCAAAGGCAGGCTTATGTCCTGCAGACAGCTCATCCCAACCTATGATGGTCTTGTTTTTATTACCAAAATAACCCTTCAAATGTTAAGCAGAATGATGTAAGGCCTTTCAGAAGCAGATGAAAGAAGCTGGTGTTCAGAGATGCCCCAGTTTCCACACAGAAGAGCTGAAAGCTGCCCTCAGCTGAGCAGGCAGGGGAGAGAGGCACCAGGGACAGCTCTTGCAGATTAACTCCCTCTGTGCAGTTTGATCTGATGTGTTTGACTACAGACACTCTCCACAGCCTCTTGGAGACTGCTATGAACGGGAGCAACAGACTGAAAAGCAAACATCCGCCTCTCATTGCTAAGGTTCCTCTCTTCTTAAAGGAAGAGATGTTTCTCCAGAACAACGCAGCCCAGGCCCACAGGGTGCTGCCAGTGCTGAAGCCCCAACAGGACAGGCCCCTGCCACTCTCTGGTGGCATCAGACCAGCTCTGCCCAGCCCAGCTGGCAGCAAACACCTCTTTCCCCTTTCTCTACCATGGAGCAGCCCTTGTGAGAGCAGCAGATCAGTGCCAGGCTTGGAGACATCATTCCTGTCCCAGACTGGGACACCCCAGCATCACTGAGGCCCCCATGGGGACCCTGCCAGCTGGGGATTCTCTGCTCCTGCCCTGCACCTGAGCTCCACTGAGACGCAGGAACAGGGGCAGAGCCAGGAGCCTGCAGCCCCTCTCCCACCTGCTCTACTCCCAGCCAGCGGGGACACCTCCAGATATTCACTTTTTTATTCTCAGCCACATTCAGCCTGATAACTGACAAGACCAAATTGTTTTGGGGGAGCTACAATTCCAGGACACCTCCAGGAGAAATTAATGTACATTTATTTCTCCTTCATCCCAGCTGCTGAAAGACCCACAGCACCTTGATTCACTTCCAGCTCCCTGCACTGAAGGATCACTGCAATCAGTTTGCTGCTGCTCCTCCAGTAAATAAAGGGATGAGCAAGCTGAAAAATAGCACATTTTTCCTCTCCTCCTACAGACAATGGGCAATAACTCTGTCAAGGCACAAAGAACAGAAAAAAAGAAACAAAAAATCGTATTACTAGAGGAAGTTTAAATGCTCTCTGACATGAACCACCAGGACAAGAAAGTCATGCTGGATGTCAAGTGTTTCACAAAAACAGCTTTCCCCAGACACTTGTCATCACAGAAGGAGTGCAGACAGTGGGGGTGAAGAGGAAGGAGATCTCCTGACACTGAAGCAAGGCTGAGAAAATGTTTAGTGCTCTGAAAATGAACCATACCCAAAGGATGCCAGGTTGCTGTGGTGGTTAATGCACTGCTGCTCCTGCAGTGGGCTGCCAGCACTGACTCCAGGGAGGGCTTGGAGAGAGGCTTCATGAGGACACAGCAACTCAAAGGGCAAATAAAATACTCCCACTAAGAGAAAAGCTGTGTTTGAAGAATGGTAGAGAAGGGAAATAAGCCCACCGTGGTTTGCTACTTGCTAGGACAGCTCTGTCTTCTTTGCATGACCAAAGACACCGTGACACATCCCACCTCTCACTGCCAAAGACAGGTTCTGCTCCCTACAAAACATTCCTGGCTTCAGGAAAAATGCCAGAGCTCTGCAATGTGGGAGAAGGTGGGAGAAGCAAAGCAGAGCTTTTCTCTGGAAGAAGTTATTAAACAAACCCCCAGATTCTGAGGGAGAAAAGAAAAAAATCAACAGCAACCATTCTGATGGAACAGCAATTTAGGCAGTGAGGCTAAAAATGGAGCCAGCCAGGCCAAGGGGAACAGCCGACATAGTCCTGCAAAATACTGCATAAAAGTCACCTGGAAAACCTGACTAAAAATGTGTGTCTCCATCCCCCAGCCCAGCAGATGGAAAGGCCACCAGCCTTTATCACTGTGAATAAATGACAATTTAAAAGCAACTATGTCAGTCTGCACCTCGGCTTGGGGCTGGAGGCATCCCCAGCACTGAGAGCCCACGGATGGAGCAGTGCACAGCCTGCTCGAACAGCTCTTCACCCAGGATAACCAACCTGCACCAGCCTGCAAAAATCCAAGGAGCTTGTTGCACAGGCTGCTACCCTGCTTGTGCCACTACACACCTCCTTTCCCACAGGACCCTCACTCCCTGCAGTAGAATTCTTTACAAACAGGGTACTCTAAAAGCCAGAAAATCCATCACAGCTGATTTCCATATCTGCTTGCCAAGGAATGCCTGGCTCTCCAGCAAGGGTAGCAGGGTTTTCCTCAACCCTCAAGGTGTGCATTTCCAAAGGACAAAAATCAAAATCTTAACACACAAAACCATTGTACATTCACCAGGTATTTAACAGTATTCCAGAGAATTCATTAACCAGATACATGGCTTGCAACAAGCCATCCTATTAATTTTCTGCCTTGATCAAGGTTGGGGTTTTTTGGGCCAAGAGGAATGGGAAAGGTTGGGGTCAAAACCATCCCTGGGCAGAGGCAGGCACAGGTATTTCAGCTGAGTAAATGGGCTTTCCTCTTTTCATTGTTTTAAACACAATATTCCAAGAGCCAGATATATTTTACACAAAAATGAACATAAGGCACTTCCTCCCCTCCCTGGGCTGAGCAGAGAACAAACATTTATTTGTTTCTCCATGAAAGAACAGAAGGAAAAGCAACATCGGTGGCAGAAGAGCAGTATGTCCACAGTCCAGGCACTACAGATGTGCATGTGGGGAGGATACACAAACTCACCCCCAGCTCTGCAGAGCATTCCACTGCCTCTCCATGCAGTGATCCCTTCTTTGCTCCGTTTTCCTTGGCAGTGCCACTGTGCTGACCCTAGAGAAAGGGCTGGGCCAGCTCCCTTTCCAGGTGACCATTTCAGAAAAGGCAGTAGGTAGAGTTCCTTATGCTCTGCAACCCAAGGGGCAGCCACAGCTGCTCTTCCCCTGCCTGGACAATGGGGAAAGAAGCACCCACCTGTCACAAAAAGCACCTGCACATCTTGTTTTCTAGCCTGGCATTGTCCTGCTAATCCTTCATTCCACTGGGACAAGTCAGAGGCCTGAGCTCCCAGACATGCTGACTCTGACTGCTGTCAGGCATTCAGCCCAGCACCCGCAGCAGACAGGATATTGGAATATAAAAAGGAATTCCTTTTTTCAGATAAAACAAGCTCTTCACTATGACTCAGTGCCCTGCCAGCTCATGGGGCCACCACAGGAGCAGAGTACAGGCAGCAAATACCCAGATGGGAAAGGATGGAGGTATGATATAGACCATGGGGTACAGGAGGCTTGAAAGTAGCCTGAGAGGTGGGGAAAAGCCCTAATTCACTCTTTGTGGATTTTCTTTGGAATTTCATGTTTTGCTGAGGACATGATGAAAATGGCTGGTGTCCTGTTATCCCTGTGTGGTACTAAATGGTTATGAACAGCTCTCCTACAAGGGGATGGGGGACAGAAACCCGGCTGGGCACAATGTCTGGTCCAAGGTTTGGAAATCAAGTTCAAAGACCACAGTGAGCCAGAGCAGGGAAACCTCCCAGGCACCTGTGGCTGAGCCAACCCCCCCAACTTCACAGCACTGAGCCTTTGGACACAGCACTGGAGGAGCTGTTCACAAGAACCATACCTGGTGAGGCAGTGCCTTTGGAATTTCTCATTAATACAGGAGAAGGTTATAAAAATAGAAATGTGATATTATTGCTCCTTCATCACCCATGTCTTGCTGCAGAAGACAGAAGTGAGAAAATTAGAAGTGTCATGCCACACCTCGATCCCTTCCCAAGTCGCACATTGCCTCAGCAGAGATGGGCTCAGCTCATGGCTCTTTTCTGCTTCTGCAGCTTTAGAAACAGATGAGTTCTCCACAAACCCTGTTTCCTGCATTTCTGAAACACACGGGTTTGAAATCTTTAATTTTAGGTGTAGCAGGACCTGACAAACTGAGGACAGAGATTGGCAAGTGTCTAAATATACACCCCCAACAGGAAAAGAAGCGTGGAGTGACTAAAAATAGTAGATGTGATTTTGGTGACTGACAAGTGAGGAGAGAAATGCAATGCAAAGGGATGCAGTTTGGAGAGCAGTGCCATCTAAAATATGTCATCGCTCTCTGGGACACTGTTCAAGGGAGCAGCAACCTGAGCTCTCAGTGTT